CCCCTGTGAAGCCGTCTGGTCCTGGGCTACCAGACCAAAGATTTTCAACTTTTTTTAATCTCATGGCACAATAAACCAGTTACTAATATTCTATGGCACACCAAAAAATATATTTTTTGCCTATCTGAAAAAAGGTATAATTTTGATTCATTTACCAATAATAATAATAATCATAATTACTTACCCTTTCTGCTCCAAAGTGACATTAAAAAAATATTTTTATTGGTTTCAGAGACAAAGGAAGAAGGAGAGAGAGATAGTGAGGAGAGAGAATCATTGGTCAGCTGCTTCCTGCACTCCCCCTACTGGGGATCAAGCCCACAATCTGGGCATGTGTCCTGACTGGGAATCAAACCATGACCTCCTGGTTCATAGGTCTAAGCTTCCGGAATGTGACAGGAGGTACAGTTACTGGAGCTAAACCTTCATCTGGATCTTGGTTTCAGTTTGCCACCAACAGTGTGCTTTGGGCTGTTTCCCAGTCTTCCCTGATACATTGACTGCTTTGCTATTTTTTTTAAACACTAAAAATGAATATATATAATGCCGGTGTATTTAGGACCATTTCTGATGTTACTGGTTTGCAGGATAGGCAGATAATTTGCTATGTTGGTAGGGTAGAGGAAGGATACATTTAAAAAAAATCATGTTGTGGGTTCTGTATTAGTTTGCTAGGGCTGCCATCATGAAGTACCTCTCTGTGGCTTAACCAACAGAAATTTCTTTCTCACTGTGGAGGGTAGCAGTCCAAGAGCAAGGTGTCAGCAAACAAGGTTGTTTCTTCTGAGGCCTCTCCGGTTGTGGATGGCCATCTTCCCCCTGTGCTTCACGTGGCCTTCTCTCCGTCTGTGTCCTCATCTCCTCTTTTTATAAGGATACCAGTCGTAGTGGATTAGGGCTCACGCTGATGGCCTTGTTTTAACTTCGTTACCTCTTTAACAAACCTGTCTCCTAAGGTTTAGGCATGGGGGGTATTGCTTCAACATATGGATTTGGGGAGGGGCACAGTTCAGCCCATAACAGATCTCATATCATAATTAACAAATTATCTAAACATGTAAATGTTGTGCTAACCTATAGTTAAGCCAAACCGTTGTGGTTCTCTGGAGAAGATCATTCATCTGAGACATTGTTTTCCACTCACATTTAACTACTAGTCTATTTTGTGTATACAACCTATAAATTCATCACACACACACACACACACACACACACACACAAAATGTATACACACTTTAACAGCTGATAACTCAATGTTCACTCCTTTTCACATTTGATTTGAAAGAATGGGTGAAGCCAGACTAAGCTTTGAACAAAGAAAATTTATCCCAAAGTGCCACTAGACTTTTATTTTTAATGGGGAATACATAAAAGATAAAGTTTACGGAACAAAACAGCAACAATCGATGAATTGAGGACGCACACAAATACCGAACAAAATGATTCTTGATGTTTGAGATTCCATTGCTTCGCATTATCAGCAGCACTGGATCAGAATGGTCATCAGTTTGAAAACAGGCATTGACAAAAAATAGTTATTCATTTCTGTAGATTCTTTTAAATTTTGAAAATGAGCTGTATGTTAATAAACATTGACTTTATAATAATTTAAAGTGTGTATACATTTTTGGGGATATGTTGTATATATATAATCTTTATTTTTTAAATTTTACTTACTTTTTAATTGCAGAAATAATTATTGAATACATTTGGAGCATTTTGAAGTGAATCTAGGACATCATATCACTTCCCCTGGATTTACTTTGGTATGATTCCCTAATGATGGTAACTTTTAAAAATTCAGAATAACCATATAACTGTTGTCATACCCAACAAAAATTAACAATAATTACTCAGTACCATCTGTCTCCCATGCTGTGTTAAATCTTTCCTGATTATCTCAAAAAAGTTTTTTTCCTAAATATATTTTTATTGATTTCAGAGAGGAAGGGAGAGGAAGAGAGAGATAGAAACATCAATGATGAGAGAGAATCATTGGTTGGCTGCCTCCTACATGTCCCATACTGGGGATTGAGCACGCAACGCGGGCATGTGCCTTGACCAGTATCAAACCCGGGACCCTTCAGTCCGCAGGCCGCTGCTCTATCCACGGAGCAAACTGGCTAGGGCATCAAAAAAAATTTTTTTTTATAATGGGTTAGTTTGAATGTGAGGTAAACAAATCCCACACATGGCATTTAGTTGGTGTGTTGCAAGTTTTGTGTGTATATTTTTTTCCTATAAAAATTTCTTTTGCTCCACCTTTGATTCCATGTCATGGATTTGTTGAAGGAACTGGGTCTTTTGTCCTTTTGAATTTCCCAGATTTTGGATTTGGCTGATTTTGTTCTCATGATTTTCTGTAATATGTTCCTCTATCCCCCATATTTTCTACCACCTGATAGGGATAAAAGCTGTTTGGCAGAAAATCTCTCCTTAAAGCAATCCTTATTATTTGAAAATACACTTATACTTCACATTATAGACACTGATGAGAAACAGAGAAAAATTTGTCTTAGGTGCTATATTCATGGCTTTCTATAAGTCATTAAGTTGTTGGTTGTACATTCGAAGTGAAGGTTGGGTGAAAATATAGTTTCTGGCTATGAGTCAACTCTGCTCCATCAAGCTTCTGGGGAAGAGGTGCATTATTATGTTACTAGGGGCCCAGTGCACAAATTCGTGCCCCTTGAAAGGAACTGTGGGCCGAGAGGCTGTGATGGGCACAGGGGCGGGTCTCGGTCCATCCTCCATGTCCCTGCCCAGCCCCTCCCACCATGGCCCCTGGTCCCTTGTCTGCCAGCAGCCCCACTCCTGCCGCTGCTGCTCCCATGCGCTGATGGCTGATGGTGCAGAGTGATTGAGGCTGGCGCCATCAGTGGGTGCGAGCGGCAGCTGCTGCCCCAATTGCCCCTCAGGAGCAGGGGGAGGTGGAGAACCCTCATTTATTATGATTTAATAAATCATAAAAACCCATGATTTATTAAAGCCAATATCATTTTTTTCTCCTTTTGGAATACTACTTCCACTGAACACTACTTGGTGTTCACTCAGTGGCTCTTAACATTTTTTTGGTTATTGCACCCCTCAGGGAATCCAGTGGAAGTCATGGACCCTCCCCAGGGAGTTACAAACTCTATATCACATCTGTGGGTATAAAGAAGGTGTTACCCTTGACTGCTGAGAGTGAGAGGACAACACAGCTCATGTCCTCTCTGATATCTATAATAATAAAAGTATAATATGCTAATTAGACCGGACTACCTTCTGGGCAACCTTCCAGATGAAGCCGCAGCAGCAGGGGCTGAGCTCCTTGCATGAATTTCGTGCATTGGGCCTCTAGTATTTTTATAATGCTCTATCACTATCAATAGCACACCTTAAAGTCTGATGAAATGGCAGCACTTTGGAGAGCAACTATTCCACTTATTCCACTCTGCCCACCTGCCCTTCACATTACTGTTACTGATGGCCTAGCTGTCCGGTGATCCAGACTATCTGAAATAAACACAAACTTGTTTTTACATAGGAGAGAGCCCAGTGCTCATGGTCTACTTCACCATCCCGATGCCATAGTGGGTATCATTAGACATATAGGACCCAGGTCATGATACATTTAGTTGTGACACATAATAATGAAAAACCATTTGGAAATTTAACTCATGTTCCCTAGAATGTCATCTTCAGTCATAGCCAGGTAATAGCCCTGACTCTCATATGATTCTCCTTTGCATTTCCTCTATGAGAGCTGTCAAAACTATTGGTGCTTCTTCACCAATAGTTGCTCTCCAAAAGTGCTGCCGTTTCATCGAACTTTCATCATTGAGACAAAAGTAACTACATATGCCTATGAAATAGAGGAGAAACGTATCTTCTATGTGTTCAGTAGGACTAAGCAGCCTTGTTGGTGGATATTTTGGAGCCTAGGCCCTTGCTCTAATCCCTGGAACCTGAGAACATCTTACCTTGCAAAGTGGACTTTGTGGATGGGATTAAGGTGACACACCTTGAGAGAAGGAGATTATCCAGAATTATCTGTGTGGGCCCAATGAGAACCTTGTTTAACTGTGCTCAGAGAAAGATGTGACAACAAAAGGAGTGTCAGAAAGATGCAACATTGCTGGCATTGAAGGTGGAGAAAGGGGGCTGTGAACCCAGAATTATGAGTGGCTCTAAAAGATAGGAAACCCAGAAAATGGATCCCTTCTTCTCTCGAGTTCCTAGAAAGGAACACCATACGTAGCCTTGCTGATGCCTTGGTTAGCCCAGTGAGACTGGTTTTAGACTTCTGACCTCCAGAACGATAGGATAATTAATGTTCATTTTTAAAAATGGCTGTGTTTGTGGTAATTTATTACAGCAGCAATAGAACCCTAATAAAGGGCCTAAATCATCAAGATGGATGGGAGACGTGCAAAAGGCAATTAAATGGTCTAACTCTGGTAATATCTGTCTCCTCTTTTAGGTAGTAGTTGAGCTGGGAAAATTTGAAAGGAAGAAGTTTAAAAGTTCCAATTTGCGAGATGGGCATGCAAAAATGGAGGAAGAGCCTACACAACTCTACTCTTTCCGTAAGAAAGATTCTCTGATCCTGAATAGGAAGAAAACAGTGGAAACTGATAGCTACCCCATCATGCTCTGGTGGTCCCCACTGACTGGGGAAACCGGCAGGGTGGGCCAGTGTGGAGAAGATGCTTGCTTCTTCACCATCAACCGGACCTATCTACATCATCCCATGACCAGAGCATTCCTCTTCTATGGTAAGCGGGGCTTTTGCCTTTCTGCCTTTGTTTGTTTCTCTAAAGCTGCACGACTGCTTACTTTCCAAAGAAGAGATGGTGGAATCCCCTAGAACACACTTCAGCATGCCCGATTTCCTTTGCTTTGGCTCTGTGGAAGGCCTGTGCATTTAGCAAATATGATAAATAAATAAGCTTGACCAGCGTGGAGGTGGTTGGCTAGGCCACAGGTATTGATGGAGGAGAAGAGATGTTTTTTCTCACCTTTCACCGTTGGGTCCTGTGCTTACTAGGAAATAGTAAATTTATACTTACTGAATTTACTGTTTAGGGAGTTGGGTGGATAATATTGCTGATAGCAATTCAGAATGTCACATGATAATTACCAAGAGATTTTGATGACCATAACAGATGTTTAATTGGGCATAAGCTAAGCCCAATGTTCTTTATTTCATTGGTCAGATTAATCAAGAATAAAAATAAAAAGGTTGCTCAGCATCAGATTTCAAGTAGGACTAAGATTTCAAGCAGTGTTCACTGCTCTTTAGACTGATTATATGTCATGCTGGGATGGAAGGGCAACCACACCCAGCTAGGAGGAGTTAGTAAGATGCCGGCAGCCTTCAGGAACACGGCTCCCTTGGTGATGAGTGGGAGGGAAAGGCTTTCCAGGACCTCCTTCATAAAAAAGGAAATTTGCAGTGGGCCTTGAGGGATAATGGAATTGGATTACATTGTGGTTGGAGGCTATTTCAGTATGAAGAATAGCATGAATAGGGGCATGAGGGTAGAAATTTATGGTTGATACATGAGGTACAGTAAGTCTATAGCATAGTTTTATGTAAGAGAGAGATATAAAGATTGAAGGATAGATTGGGGCCACAGCATGGGGAACCTCAAATGTTGGCTTAAGATTTTGTATCAAATTAGGGGATGGTATCAGGAGCCACAGAAAGTTGAATGGCTTTTTAAAAACTAACCCAAAATAATATCTGTGAACCATCCTGATTCTCCTCCATTAAACGTAGCCTCTCTTCTCTAAATGGCCAGAGAGTATTTTATATCTCTCTTATGTCATTAAATTGAACAGCTACAATATGCCAGGCACAATGCCAATCATAAATAAGGTAACTATGGCATTTGGTTTTGCCCTGTATGACCTTTTCTTCCCCAGTAGCATATAAAGTTCTTGAAGGTAGGGAAACATCAATTCATCTTAGTACCTACCCTGCTTCCTATGTCTAGCATAGTGCCTTGTACATGGTAGGTACTCAGGAAGTATTCATAGAGACTTAGAGCCATAAAGAACCTGAGAGAGTCTAAACTCCTCTTTGTAAAGGTGAGAAATCCAAGGCTCAGGAAGGTTAGGGATGTACTTAATAGAAACACATCTGGAGGTCATAAGGACTTTCACCAGTGAAATATGATGAATGCTGAGTCTGGTTTGAGCCATTTGTGAAATGCAAGGCTTTACCTACATTAACAATTCCCTCAAACAAAAATTAAGCAGTCACAAGTGAATAAATTATTTTTTAACCCAAAAGTCCATAGAGTTACCAAAGTTAGTGTTAGATACGGTCACTGTTGTGATTTCAAAACACAACTCTGTTTTTAAACAGTTCTCTTGAAATGTGTGTACCATGGAGGGGTTGGAGTTTTTTTTATAAGAATGAGTGGTTAGGGGGGAGAAACTAAGATGGCGGCATAGGGGAACACCGAGATTGCTGCCTCCTACAACAACTTCAGAAACACAATAAAAGGACAGGACGGTCAACATCCAGAACTACAGGAAGGCTGGTGGAGTGGAAATTCTACAACTGGAAGAAAAGAGAAAACCACATTGAGGGTCAGGAGCTGCGGAAGTTAAGTGCAAAGGTACGGCTGGAGCGCGAGTGCGCGGAAGGGGGCTGGTACCTGAGGACACGGCTGGGGAGGGAGTCACAAGCTCCCAACTGCTCTGAACTCTGGTTCCAGGAAGTCTCTGGGGACCCAGGACTCATATGAGGAGAAACTGGACTGTCTGGCAGCAGGCAGAACTCGGAACTTGAGGGCGGCTTTCTGTCAGAGGTGCCTGCAGCAATTAAATTACCGGGACACTGAGGCACGCCAGCCCCTCAGGGCAGGGCTGAGAATCTGCCATAGCTGCTTGCTCCGCCCTTTGATTCCCTGAGACCCCACCCCACCCAGGCTGTGGCAGAGGCTTTTGCATATGAATGCCCTGGCCCTTTGCAACCTGAAAATTACCTAACAAATTGCAGCTGGGCCAGACAGACCCAGAACTTCCAAGAGAAGGACCAAGGCCCCACAGCAGCTTGCATTGCTTCACAGCTGTGCCTCATCTGGGCACCTTCAAACCCCAAATAAGGAAGGGGAATCTGCAGATCTCTTCGTAGCTCCTG